CCAAAGTCACCCAGCTGGTAACTGGCAGAGCTCAGCTTTGAGCCCAGGCAGCCTGGCTCCCGGGACCCTTCTGAGCAGCCCCCTTATCTGACTGATGAAAATCAAGGCCCAGGGAGCATAAGTTGAGCTGCCCTGTCTGTGTCACATGGCCCTTTGGTGGAGGAGCTGAGAGTAGAATTGGGCCTTGTGACTTCCGCTCTGAGTGGGCTCTTCCCGCAGCCCACGGGCCGAGTGCGCATTTGCTTATCAAAGTGGGGCAAGAGGAGTGCGGTTCTGCTGCTGCTCCACTTTCTCAACTCCCCCAGTGCTCAGAGCGGACCCCTGGGGAACACACACAAACCCACCCTGCTAGCCGCAGGGTCACGGGGCTGGGGACTGACACCACAGCCACCTCCTCACCGCCTTCACAGAGTGAAGCTTGTTCCTGGGGACTGTCAAGGCCAGAGGGTGTGCTGTCCCTCAGGGCTGGACACACGGGCTTTCGGGGGCTGGTTCACCTCTGCAGTCCCTCCAGCGCTGCTATAACTTTGGCTTTATCCTTCCAAGAGGTGGACTACAGGACTGTCCCTGGCTCCGGGAGGGCCAGGGAGGTCACTTTCTTTCTCTGCCACCTGGAATTAGGGTTTCATTTCCTGTGTCTCCTGGTAGCAGAGAGGGGATTGGCTTGGTTATCAGCAGACGCACAGGGAAGGGCCAGGGTGCTGAGAACTGCCCCCCTCACTCTCCCTCCTTTTGCAGCAGAGTTCACAGGCCCCCCACAGAAACCGCCTCGGCTGGGTGCACAGGTATGTGTTGGCTCTGCCGAAGCTGGTAATGAATTTGAACCAGGGCTGCCCAAGACTGAAGACCATGGGCTGTGAAGAGTTCACAGGCCTTCGGAAATAACCTCGTCCAGCCCCCTCATGCTGTAGCTGAGGCCCAGAGAAGGGCAGCGCCCTGTCTAAGGCCACACAGCTGAGCCCCGAAAAAGCAAGGGGACGGCCGGCCTCCTCTCTCCCCAACCTGAAGGAAAGCTCATTGGTCCTGCCCTGGGAGCAGGAGTTGGGGCCCCCTCCTCTCTTGGGTGCACCCCCTTGGGTGTCAGCACCCACCTCGTTCTTGCGGTAGCCTGGGATGGGCGCCAGTTTTCCTCACTCTGAAACAGTGTTCTCAGCCTTGGCTGCCCATTAGAATTGCTCGAGGTGCTTTTGGAAACCCCTGGCCTCCGTGCCAGGGTGATGGTTGAGTTGGTCTGGTGTGAAGCTGGCCACCAGTCTGCTCGAAGGCCCCCAGCAGATTCCAGTGTGAGAACCACTGCCCCAGATGCAGAAGGGAGGGGTGCACCCCCAACGCAGGGCACTGTTATCTTGGAGACCTTTTCAAATCGGGCTGGGGGCTGAGTTGGCACCAGTAGTGCCTCCCAGGAAAGAATCGCAGCATCCCCCTGACTTGAGACCCCCAACCCCTACCAGTCCATCCAGCCCACAGCCAACCTGGATCGGACCGACGACATGGTGTACCTCAATGTCATGGAGCTGGTGCGGGCTGTGCTGGACCTCAAGAATGAGCTCTGTCAGCTGCCCCCTGAGGCCTACGTGGTGGTGGTGAAGGTGAGCGCCAGGGCCAGAACCAGGACGGGGAGGTGGAGGCCGCTCATCCCAGCCCTGCAAGCACATGGGGTGGGGCTGGGCTTCCTGGTCAGCCCCACATGCCTGGTGTCTTTCCTGGGAAGACCCCATTACAGCAAGGTGGCAGAGGATATTTAGTCCCAAGTAGGCTCAGAAAGCAGATGCCAACCAGGAGCGCTCCTTCTGAGGGAAGCATGGCTTTCTCAGAGAGCGGAAGGTGCAGTCGCCCCGCCCTTTCTCTGCAGAATGTGGGCCTGACCCTGCGGAAGCTCATCGGGAGCGTAGACAACATCCTGCCTTCCTTGCCGTCGTCGTCGCGGACAGAGGTGAGCGTCCTGGCCTCAGACAGTGCCACCAGCTCCCCTTCCCCTGCACCTGCCCAGCTGTGTTCCACGCGGGGGCTCAGCGGGGCCACCTGGGCAGTCTCATTTCTGCCCGCCGAGCCTGCTGCAGGTGGCCCTGCATAGCGCGTCTGTGCAGGTGCTGCAAGGGGGCTGAGCTGGCACCTGGGGACCTGGCCAGCCTCCTAGGGCTGGTTTCCTAGTTTCCGTCTCAGGTAGTTGCAGAGATGCCTTACTGTGTGCAGACATGCCAGGGAGGACACCCCTTCCCTTCTGGCCCTCCTGTGACCCCTCGTCTAGTCTCCCTCCACACTAAAGGCAAGCTGTTACGGACATAGCAGTTAAGGTGCCTCTTGTGGACCATTTAATCTAATTTTCTTTATTTGAGTGAGAAACAACTACTGAACACTAACACAGGAGTCTCGGTGCTCCGTGTTCACGTGGGAGCCTGTGGCGGGCAGGACAGCTCCTCAGAGAGGGCCTCGTGCCAACCCCCAGCGCCTGTCGCTGTGTTGCCTTGCGTGGCAAAGGGGTCTCAGCAGATGTGGTTAAGTTGAGGATCTTGCTGTGGGGAGAGGACACTGGATCATCCACGGCGGTCTGATGTAGTCACAAGAGGGAGGCAGAAGCACAGCTCTCATAAGAGTCAGAGAGGGGGTGTGATGACAGAAGCAGAGGCTGAGATTATTTCGGCCTGGGCTGGAAGGCTCCGCAAGCCAAGGAAGGCCGCAGCCTTTCGGAGCGGGAGAAGGCAGCGGACAGATTCTCCCCTAGAGCCTGCAGCAGGAGCTCGGCCCCGCCGTCTCCCTGACTTAGCCCCGTTGGCCCACTCCAGACTTCCGACCTCCAGAACTATAAGAGGATCTGTGTGTTGTTTTAAGTCACTGCAGCAACAGGCAACTTGTACAGTGCCTCTGTGCATTTGTTGCCTCTCTGTCTGGGAACCCCACAGCCCTGGCCAGGCTGCTGTTTGATGTGGCATCTGCCGTGGTCAGTGACGTGGCACAGGTGACCACCGAATCCTCACTGTCTGTGACTGCTCAAGAAAAGACAGTGCGGGGGTGGGGGGTTCCCAGCATCCCTCTCTGTGGCAGCAGTGGTAGCCCGCAGAGGAGCCCCAGGCCGGGCTGTCCTGTCTGACGTGAGAGCATCTTGCCCTGGGCATGATGGCCCAGCCATTCGTTTCACCTGCTCAGTGCTCTTGAGTGCTGAGTGCGTGCTCAGAAGTGTGCTCAGCTCTGGGCCTATGGCAGTAAACAAAACCCTACAGCTCAAACCACAGCCCCAGAGCTCTTGATTTCATGGCAGACAGCTAATGAATGAGTAAATGCACTTGACCTCGGACCATCCACTCGAACATGGGGCCAGCACAAGAAGATGATATGTGATAAAGGGAGGGCCAGTGGGGGTGGATCAGACTGGGCTGGCATGGGGTGCGCTGGGGCCGGGACGTCTGCGGTGTCTGTCCTTGGTGGCTGGGCTCCAGCCTGTTCAGGGCCTCAGACTCAGCCCTGGCCTGGGTCTGACTTGCCCCCCAGAGAAATTCTGACTACCTCGGCCAACACCAAAGTGGACACTTGTGTGGCACGGGTTCCAACCTCCCCTGTTCACTCTTCCTCCAGATTGAAGGGACCCAAAAACTGCTCAACAAGGACCTGGCAGAGCTCATCAATAAGATGCGACTGGCCCAGCAAAACGCCGTGACCTCCCTGAGCGAGGAGTGCAAGCGGCAGATGCTCACAGCCTCCCACACCCTGGCCGTGGATGCCAAGAACCTGCTTGATGCCGTGGACCAGGCCAAGGTTCTGGCCAACCTGGCTCACCCGCCTGCAGAGTGACAGAGGGTGGGAGTCACCTGTCCGCGTCTTCCACCCCCGCCTGTCGTGTACCTTCCTTGCCTCCGGCCCCTGCCTTGCCTTCGGTCATGTGGGTCTTCTCAGGGGGAAGGCCGAGGGGAGTTCTTCCCTTGCCACTTTGCACGACCCCCTCCCCCCACCTCGGCCCCCAGACGGTGCTGTTCAGGCTACAGCTGGACAGAGGGGACTCAGGGCTGTAGATTCCAGGGGGTGACAAGGAGGGCTCAGAGGGAGCACAGCTGCCACTGGCCATTCCCTCCTCACACCTGCCTGGCCTGTTGGGGGTCACGCCAATGCCCCCAGTGGCCACGATGGCTTTCTGCATGGACATAGCAGGCCACGGGGAAACCAAGCTATTCCTTCTTGCTCTTCTGCCCACGGATGCAGAGGGGTCGGAGAGCAGCTTCCTTTCACAAGGTGGACAGTTGGTGAGATGAGGGGTGGACCTGGCTTTCTTGTACAGTGTATATTGGAATTTATTTAATGTGAGTTTGGTCTGGACTGACAGCCATGGGCCCCCTGGAGGGGGAACCTGGGCCACGGTCCAGCAACACGTTATTGGGAGACTGGGCGCGGGACACTGTGTTGTCAACACGCCAAGTGTCGAGGAGAAGGGGAGTCGAGGCCAAATGGGACTTAGGTCGCAGTACCCTTCCTTCCTCACTCCCACCTTTCCCCCCCTACTTTGCCCCCTCTTCCTTTCTTCCTCTTTTCTTGCTCCTCTCCCTTTCTCTCCCCCTTTCTCATCGGTTCCTGCCCTCCTTCTCTCTCGTGTTTGTGCAGAACACTCTTTCCCTTCTTTCTATTTGACTTGTGGATGAATTAAAATTGTACTATTTGCTTTATGGTTTGATCACTTCATTTGCTTGAACTGCCATTGGGGGGAAACTTTGGCTTCTAGTCACATCTCTAGAAGAAACTGATTTCACTCAGCTGGGCGCAGACCAAGGGCTGATGCTCGGCTCAGCCCAGGGGGGCCTGGTGACACCCATGCAGTGGGGTCAGCTATGAGCCTCAGCCCCTTCACTCCGCACCTGACCAAGGGGGCGTTTTCCAGTGGGGACCCAGGGCAGCCCCCGACGTGGCCATGGGAGGGATGTCAGCAGAATGGCACTCCCCGCTGACACCCAAACAACCAGGGCTCTGGGGGAGACTCTGGTGGTCCTGGGGATGCCGCAGAGGGTTGCACAGCTAGATGAATGGCGGCCTCGATTTTATTTGATTTCTCTACAAACTTGCAAGATAGAGGGGAGACGGACTGACATAAGGGGGCATCAGTGCACCAGGAGACCCGGGCTGGTCGGTCCAGGAGGGAGGAGGGAGGCTGGGGACCACGTGCACAGAAACAGGGAGGGGCCAGAAACCAGAATGGGCCACTGAGTCGGGGGTCTTGGGAGAGAACCAAGGAGCAGAGGCTGGGCCTGGGAGTTTGGAAGGAGAGGACCCCAAAGATCGAAGGGGAATTGGAAGCTTGTCCTGATCAGCGTCCTGTCTGGGGTCCCCACGCTGACCCAAGAACCCAGTGTCCACATCTTTTAGCTGCTGGGGTTCCACCCTGAGGAAGCGGGACTAGCTGGGGCAGGGGTGAGGCCTGATTCCCTGGCTGGAACTCCTCTGGGCTCCCGCTGCAACTGACGGCCATCGATGGCTGCATTCCAAGGTTCGAACACAGACCGCACGGGCAGCTCAGGCACACCATGGGGCCTTGGGAAGGACAGGCCGGGCAGGCTGGGAAGGGGAGTGGTCCTGGGTCCTGCAGTGTTGGCACCTACACAGCAGTCTTGAGGTCCAAAGTGGACCACTCACTCCCGAGTGCCAACCACCACTAGTCCCGGGAAGGGAGGCGGGGAGGGAGCACGCTGGATCAAGAGTGGCTCAGGCTGACCTTCTGGTTTGTCCACAGGAGTTGAAGGGCAGAGGGTATGCCCGTAGCAGGGACGCTCAATGCTGCCAGGCCTCTGCGGGTAGGCTGCTGCTGAGCCAGTTTGCAGCGGGGGGCAAGAGGTGCTAACCCTCCTCCTTCTGCCTGAGGGTCTGCCCTGCAGTTCTGCCCCACCCGTAGCCTGCCTCCCCCTCCTCCCCTCCCCGAAAGCCTTTCCCACTCTGCCCTTAGATTCGTGGTCTCAGACTCTGAACTTCTTTCTCCACCTCATTCAAAGACACCCCACCTGCCAGCCAGTGCTCCCCGCACCAGAGCTCCACCTTGGCCTGGCTGTTCTAACACTTCGGGCTCATTCCTGAATCCAAAACATCACTCATAGTCCTCCTGCCCCTTGTGGCACCCTCTCCCCTCTCCCCCACACCCTTTCTTTGAGGCCGGTGTTGTGTTCCCCTTCACCTGGCCTCGCCCCTGCCTTCTGCTCCCCCGAGTGACACTCCTGTCACCCAGTGTCTGTATATCTCCTTCAGGAGCATCTCATATGCTCCACAGTGTCACCACCTCATCGTAACCTTCTGCAGAGCAAGTTCCTCCCTTTCCTGCTCCTCAGCACCCAAAGCCGGGCTCTGCGCCCAGTGCAGGCTCAGCGAGAGCACAGCACTGCTAAGTGAGCGGGGTCAGGAAGTCTGCGAGGACCGGGCCAGTGTAGGGACTCCAGGGTGGGGCACCTGCGGTCACATGGTACTGACCCCAAAGGTGGGATGTGGAGGCAGCAGCAAGGATGATCAGCAGTGCCACCTTTGGGCCAAAGCCAGGGCTGTGAAATCAGATCATTCCGGCCAGGAACGGGGGAAGGAAGAGTCCCACGGTCCCCAGGAAGCAGACGATGATAAACAGCCAGAGGAATATCCTGTCAATCACCATGGCCACATACTTCCAGTCTTCCTTCACCTGCAGGTGCAAGAGGGCTCACAGTGACAGGGGGCAGGGCTTGGGAAAGGGGAGGGGCCCCACCATGTCATGGGGGCAAGGGGACCCCATTGAGACCTTGAGAAGCACAAGCAGGGGTCGGGGGGTAAGGGGTTGTCTCAAAACTCAAACAATGCTTTCCTACGTGATTCCCATCCTGTTCTACCCCTGACACAGCCTAAGGCCTTTCCCAAGGCCCTCAAGTTCCAGATAAGAGAGGCTAGAGGGACACAAGAAGGTTCTAGAACACCCAGGGACCCACAGTGGTTTAAACACACTACCCAGTACTTATAAACCGGTGAAGACTTTGCTGCCCCCATGTTGCCTCCCAACCCCCATTCACCCATCACCGCTCTAGGAGATGGAGAGGGTGTAGGTGAGGGCAGGCACGGCCCTGGGAAGGCTGGGGGGTTGCAGGGGGGACTTGGTGGGATTTGGGCTCACAGTCCAGGCAAGTGGGTCGGAACTCCTAGCTGTGCCCAGATTAGATAATGAGAATGTTTTGTATCTACTCATCAGGGTCACCCGGTAATAACCTCCCTGCCCTTCACGCTTTCCTCAGTTGTTAAGAAGGATTCCGAGATGCTGAGCAGTGGCCCGCTCACCTGATAATGCCAGACATGGCCGAGGCCAAGGAGGGGCATCCACCCGGTACAACCAAGCTTCCTCAGGGTTTGTGTGCGAACAGCGAAGTTCACAAAATACCCAGGACTCGCAAATGAGGAGGAGGAGGGGGAGACCATCAGGGCAAAGGAGGAAGGCCGACACCACAGCAGCCTGACGTATGGTCTCTCCTGATGACACTCCCCCCACCTCCCTTCATCCCTTCCCCGGCCAACAGGCAATTGGGAGAAATGGTGGTGAGGATGGCGTGCGAAGCTCTGTCTTGCTGTCTTCCAGTTAGGCTTAGCTAGGGCATTCTCTCTCTCTTTTTTAATTGTTTAATTTTTTAGGACCCTCACCTGAGGACATGCTTATTGATTTTAGAGAGAGGAAAAGGGAGGAGAGAGGGAGGGAGAGACACATCGATGTGAGAGAGAGACATCGATCAGCTGCCTCTCGCATGCGCCCTGACTGGGGACAGAACCCGCGGCCCAGGCAGGTGTCCTGACTGGGGGTCAAATCCATGACCCTTCAGTTTATAGGATGGTGCTCCAACCAACCGAGCCACATGGCCAGGGCAGCCAGGGCGTTCCTGATTGCTGGTCTGCCACCTGCCCCTTCATGTCTTCAGATTTGCCAGCTGGACGATCTCCACCACTATTTATTCCAGACTCCCAAGGGCCACCATGACTGAGGGAGATGGGTTCTCACGTGAAAGAGACTGGGTTGGCCCAACCAAACACCCTGGGGTAAGGAGGTTCCCTGCTAGGCTGATAGAGTCACGTAGGGGAGGAGCCCAGCCCCAGCTCACCGAAGAGTCGGCATCCTCAGACCGCAGGTGATCAGCGATATAGTGCACGCCGTCCAGTGCCTTCTGCATGCGAAGCGACAGCAGGAGCCCTCCCTTCTGCAGCCGGGCCTCCCCCTGGGGGCCCAAGGCCCCTTGGTGCAGATCAGCGTGGCCATGGAGGACACGCATGGAGGGGGATGACACCCACCTCTCTTCCTCTTCCTCCTCTTCCTCCTCCCTCTCTTGCACATCCAGGTTGGTCTCTAGCCAGTGATGGGAGGGGCTGAGCTGCAGATCTGGGGGGCCGTGGAGATCCAAGGGCAGCAGAGGCCGTTTCATCAGAAGCCACCGTGGCACGCAGCTGAGAAAGGCCACCCGCACCCAGGAGGGCATGTTGTGGGTGCTGGGGGAGCGGTGGTGGACATTGAGGACGAAGACCGTGATGACAATGGACAGAGTGACGAAGATCATGGTGAAGAGCAGGTACTCTCCGATGAGCGGGATGACCAGGGAGGTGGACGGGATGATCTCGGTGATGAGCAGGAGGAAGACGGTGAGCGAGAGCAGCACGGAAATGCACAGGGTGATCTTCTCCCCGCAGTCGGAGGGCAGGTAGAAGACGAGCACGGTCAGGCAGGAGATGAGCAGGCAGGGGATGATGAGGTTGATGGTGTAGAAGAGGGGCAGGCGCCGGATGACAAAGTAGTAGGTGACGTCAGGGTAGATCTCCGCGCAGCAGTCATACTTCTTGCTGTTGTAGGTGCCCGTGGCGTTGACAATGGCCCACTCGCCACTCTCCCAGTAGTCCTTCAGGTCCACCGTCTGCTCCATCGGCTCCAGGTCGAACTTCGTCTTGTCGTACGTCCAGGAGCCGAACTTCATCTTGCAGTTCTGCTGGTCAAAGGGGAAGAAGGTGACGTCGATGCTGCAGGAGCTCTTGTAGATGGCCGGGGGCACCCAGTGCACGGTGCCCGTGGAGAAGACGAGGGCCTTGGTCATGTGGTTCACCACGAACTCCCCATCTGCACTGGGGAGAGGAGAGGGGTTGGAGGGCCCGCACGCCACCCCCCTGCGCACGCCGGGCTGCTCCAGATGACCGGCAGCAGGGACCCCAGTACCAAAGCCAGACCCGGCCGGGTGGCTGGGGGCCACGCCAGTGCAAGAGACTCTCCCAGCACATGGGCATCGACGGCTACTGGTGCTGTCTTTTCAAGCTCATCTTTTTTAATTACAGAAGTAGGAATTTTGAAGAATATAAAAATATCCAAGAATGTCAAATCAAAAACAGCCACTATTAACATTCTGACATATGTATGTCATGTATATTTGATGTCCTATAAATCACATACATATCTGTGATTATTTGATAGTTTAGAGTGATTATTTATGAGTGTATTTTCTGTCCCCAGCAAATGGTGAATCAGGCCCTCACCTGGGGGTCAGGTCTTTCCACCTGGGACCTCCATCAGTGTCTTGTTGAGAAGAGACCCAAAATTTTTGCTAATAAAGACTGATAATCCCTTGATGCACCCATTCCCCGTGCGTTTCTGAGCCAGACTCACCCTCCAGAGCCTACATGGGGGCTGTGACCCGGCCTGCCCCTGCGGAGGAAGGAGGAAGCAGGGGGAAGCAGGGGGAAGGGAAAGGCAGCCCCAGACACCTGCCACGTGGGGGAGGCAGTTCCACAGCAGCGCTCTGAGGGCCCACCGCGCTCCTCCACAGAGATGGAGGGAAACTCCCTCCTGGCTGGAGTGACTGGGTCCCGTGAAAGTTGCCATTTGAGTGTCGCCTTGACTGATGGCAGGGTTTGGCGGAGAGAAGGGGTGGGGAGAGCGTCCTCCAGAACGAGGGACAGAGGAGGGGAAGGACAAAGTTCACAGGGCGTGCCTAGATTAGAGGGGCAGGTCCGGTCTCCTCACGGAGCCACTAAGCATCTGAGGGCTTACAAGGGCTTCCTTGAGGGCTTCTAGGGACACTGAAGTAGGGGTGACCCGTCAGGCTTCCCGGGAGCCCGAGCCCCTGATTTGCCCTGGGAGTGTGACCTGGGGGGCGACGCAGAGTGTTCCCCACCTGAGTCTTTAACAAGCTGTCCCTCCCTCTCCAGTTCTCAAGGTCAATTCTAAAGGCCCGAGAACCAGAAGAATACCAGGAAGAGACTTATTTCCCATGGAGCGGTTCCAGGCTAGAGGCTGGAAAACGGGAATCTTTTAAAGAAAAGGTCGGGAATGGGAACTTGGAAGGAGAGGAACAGATCAGGGCGGAAGTTTGCAGAAGGCATTTTTGTCAGCACACACAATCACCGCTAGATGGCAAGATGTGCCCTGTTGTGAGGAAGGAACGTGCGATTCCTTTGATCTTCCTGTAAACCTGGCACGGAGTGTTTGGGTGGAAGGAGACCCTTCTTTAAAGGCAAGAATTTGGCTTGAACTGTCTATAAGAATTACCTATTACATTCAAGTAACACTGGCTGGAGCCTTACTGGTCACCCTAAAACTCCAGGTCTTACCTGATGCTAAGGAAGGACTTTGCTTCTGACTTCTGCCAGATGCGCAGGAACCAGAAACTAGGTGGTGTTTGGGTACTGGCTCAGGGGAATAGACACAGGGGCCAGGTGGCAGTGATTCTGGTGGCAGCAGCCAACACCAGGCACCTGCGGGTTGGACCTTCCAGGTAACCCCTGCTGACTGTGCATATAGAAACGGCTCCAATGATTCAAAACCCTATAGTTCTAAAAGGAAAATACACGGGAAGATCCTCCAGCAAATACATTTAAATCACACTTCCAGTGATTCAGTGAACCATAACACTTCATAGGAAAGAAGAAAGGGCTCCAATGACAGGCAACCATTGTCATTCCCCTCTGACCTGGTTGGAGGCACCCAGACTCCAAAAGTGGACCTTTCCCCTTTGTTTGTTTGTTTGTTTGTTTTAATGGCTTCTCCAAAGCTGGATCTAAAGGCTTGGGAAATGCTGGGCTGAATGGGTTTCTTGGCTGCACAACTTCCAACACCGCTGGAATGCTGCCGCGTTCTGACGGCTTCTGAAGGCAGGCCCGGGGGGCGGGGCGGGGGGTGTCGCGTGCAGCGCCACCCAGGATCATTTGACCTCAGGGCCGTTTTCCACGTCCATTCACATCTCTAAGAATTCCTTAGAGCCCCACTTTAGAACATATTTTAGATGAACATAGTCTCAAATATCTTTTAATTGTAAGCACTTCTGAATGAAGAACTACCCGCTACCAAACATCATACATAAAATTATAGATCTCTATTTCTTCTATCAACCCACCTCCCCGCCCCACCTCCCTGCCCCGCTGGGCTCTCTTTAGACTCCTCTGCCTTTACTGGCTTCTGGTCGTTATGCTCAAAGACTGGTCCTTTCTGGTCTTGAAGACAAGGCAATGACAAGTAATATGGTTTTATAAACACCCTCACCAGGTGAGCTTGCTCCCTGCTCCAGCCGCACCACCACCTTGCTGCAAAACTCCAGCCCGCAGACATTGTTTCCACAGCCTGCACCAGCCGCGTTTTGAAATAATAGCGTTGGCAAATCTGTGTCCCATTAGCACGGCCCCAGGCACCAACACATAGGGGGTGCTCAATAAATTTCCGTGTATGCATAAGAGAACAAAATGAAAGAAATAAAGGAATCAATACAAAAGCTCGGGGTAGGGTGGGTGGTAGCAGAGCAGGACTTGGGGAGCAACGAGGGTGAGACATAAGGGGGCGCGCTTCCCAAATCCAACCCGGAAACCTCTCCCAAGTTGCCTCCCAGAGGCCTCCCCAGGACCCCAGCGGCTCCCTACTTGTTGTAGAGGACAATGTCGGGGATCCAGATCATCTCTGAAGGGACTCGGAGGGATGTGATGTTGCCAAACTCGGAGGGGTTCCAGCGCAGCTTGTGGTCACTCCACTCCTGTGCGTGGGGAGGGGAGTCCGGTCACCTGGTGCTGCCTGGGGAGGGGTCTCGGGGCCAACAGGCAGCCTGGGGATGCCCCAGCAGCCGGGTTCACGATCACCACGGAGCTCATCCAGCCCCACGGAGGGAGAGGGCTCTGGACTGGGAATCAGAGGTCTGGTCTGACATGGCCAACCCCCTGGCTTTGCCTCGGGTCTAGTACTTAGAGCCCTGGACACACTTAGTCCTTGTCACCCTAGTCCCGACTCTAGGCCTCATCCTGCCACTCCCCAGCTGGACGGCTCTGGGGAGCCACCTCACCCGTGTGTAATAATATATTTTTAAAAAGGGTGTATTTAGTTATTTTTAGAAGGGAAGGGAGGAAGAAAAGAAAGAGAGAAATATCGATATGCAAGAGGTATACATCAGTTGGTTGTCTCTCACATGCCCCCTACTGGGGCTTTGGCCCGCAACCCAGGCATATGTCCTGACTGGGGATTGAACCAGGGACCTTTAGGTTCTCAGGCTGGCTCTAAATCTACTGCCAGGTTTAACTTTTTTTTTCTGCCACACCAGCCAGGGTTAACTTTTTTTTCTAATGCATCACAATTTACAAAGTTATTTGCACCCTTAATGGGAAAGCCAGACAGAGAATGCCATGCGGGTGCAAATATTTCTCCACTTAACAGATAAGGAACTGAGAACCAGAGAGGTAAAAGCCTTCCAGAATATACAGCTGAGAAAGGGGAGTGAACCAGTGACTTTCAAACTGTGCTTCAGAGCACCCCCTAGGAGTGCCACCAGGGCTCACACCAGCAGGTCCACGTGATTTATTGTTTTCTCCCCCAAACCAGGTTAGAATTGTTCAGTCCCTGAAGTTTCCTCTATGGCATTATCACAAATGGTGATTACACGCAGATGTGCACAGTGGCTGATGTAATGCGTCTGTAAAGCCTGTGAGGCTGAGGACAGCACCTGCACGGCTGGCACCAGGCCCCTGGTGGATGCTCAGAAAATGAGTGTCCCAGCAACAAGAAAACTCCAGAGTTGTACGGTCACATTTCCAGGATGGTTTCCCCTGTCCCTTTTAGACCTAACTACCCCCCACAGAGAATGACTGGTGTTGGCACCCAAGCCTGTCCTTTGCCCTGTAGGGACCTATAATCGTTAAAACAGTAACCACCACCATTGGTGGTAGTGCCCTTTGGATTCTTTATTCTAATCTTCACAGCAATCCAATGAGTTAGGGTGAGGAAGCCGAAGCAGGGTATGGCCAGTAAGTGGCAGCACTGGGGCTTGGACCCTGCCTCCCCAACTCTAGGCCTGCCCTAGGTCCAAGGGCCATTTTGCTTTTATGCATTCGCACTAAAATGGTGCCTCTTCCCCTCCAGGAATAGTCGGGTAACGTTTACACAAATGCATCAGCCTGGGTGGGGATCCCGGGGGTGGGGAGAAGCAGGCACGTAAGAGCAAACGCATTGCCGCCACTCCTGCCTTACTTGGGGGGGAGGTGCTCACCTGCTTTAGCCAGACATTGGTGGTCATCATTTGGTTCTTCTCGTCCTGGCCAGCAGGCAGCGGGAGAGAGGGTAACAGTAGTCAGAGTGAGGGAACCAGCCCCAGAAGACAGGGGGACATGGGACAGGCTGGCTCAAGGCCCTCACTCAGCAGAAGACCCTCTTATATGATACAGCAAACCCGGCCCAGCCAACACCCCTCCTGACACTGTACCCCTTGCTCAGATTTTTAGGGTCACACAGGCCACTGGGGTCCTCTGGGCCCGTGTCCAGTGGAACAAGCAAAGCATCTAGAAGCCCCCCTGCTAAATCAGGGTCCCCCTAGGAGGGCCTCCAGGGCTGGGAGGGAGCGGGGAGGGAGCGGGGAGGGAGCTCGATCGAGGTGGGCTGGGGTGGGGGGGTCCGAAAGGAGAAGGACTGGGGCTGGGGAGGGAGGAGGGACCCTGGGAAAAGGGCTGGTGCCTGGGGCTGATCCCATGGGCTCAGAGGGTGGTGGGACAGGCCTACCACGTCGATGAGCTGGGCGATGGACAGCCCGAAGCGCACGATGACCACATCTGAGGTGTTGGGCACCGGTCGTGCCCAGCGGTTGTAGCCCCTGAAGAGGTGTTTGAAGAGGCGATCCTCGGCTTGGGCGTGGGGGGCTCGCCGTGCCAGCACTGGGGGACAGGAAGGAAGAATGGGGTCTCCAGGAACCCAGGGTGGTGGGTGTTCAACTCCCTCTCCCAGCAAAGCCACTCAAACTCGCTGAGCCTCAGTTTCCTTGTCTGTAAAGTGGGGACACTATCCAGGACCTATCTCACAACACTGGTGAGGAGTAAACAGAATAGCGTGTGTGAGAACCTAACAAAGCAACCAGCACGTGGTCGGAGCTCAGGACATGTCCGTTGCCCTGGCACCATTCGCTAAGTTGGCGAGGGAGTAAGTGTGGGGAGGCTGCCGAGGCAGAGGAGTGGGGAAGAAGTGAGACCTAGAGACGAGTTTCAGCCTAGGACACTTTTCCTAAAAAGTGTCCCACAACTGTCTGAGGGAACCGCTTACGTCTGTTCTGCAAACATCATCGTCACCTCCTAGGGCTCTGGGGCTTGGGCAGGTGGGCACTGCTGGTCTGACACCCAGAAAGGCACATCGGTAGCAACAGCTGGTGTGCACGGAGCACCTACTGTATTCCAGGTGCTGGTCACACACTCTCCTGTCATGTGATCCTCACAATAGACCTGGGAGGTTCAGCACACAATCGGCATTCACAGACGAGGAACACCGAAGCTAGGGCAGGTTCAAGGTGGCGCTGCTGCCCATGTCAGAGCTGCAAGTGCCCTGCCCCCATCTCACTGTGGGATGAGCTACTCGGAGTACCCTGCAGCTTTGGCGGTCGCCATGAGCTCAGCTGCAGGAGTTTCCTCCACCACATGTGAGCTTACGGGTGTGACATGTTGTCCTGGTGATGTCATTCACTCACCTGCTGGGATCAGAAGGAGCCACAACAGGCCAAGCTTTGTCATGGGCTGGAGCGCAGGGTGGGCGAGGCCCATGGCTTCAGAGGTGGGCCTGGCTGCTGATGGGGAAGTGGCTGGGCCAGGGCTTTGCTGTGGGTTGAACTGCAACTGCCTACCCAGCAGGGCCGCACGTTGCTGACACGGCAGAGCTCCGGCTGGATTCCGCACAGGCCCCCTCGGCGCTGCACCTGGGCAAGGCCGGTAGAGGGTCTCAGGGGCGTGTATCCTTGACTCGGATGTGCCTTTGTCCTCGCACTGCACACAGGTGCTCCAGTGAGCCACTCTGCCCTAAGAGGATCCCTGACCCGGTGGACAGAGGAGGGCACCGATGATACCGAAACGCCCATCTTTCTGGCCTCAGTGTTGCATGTGTAAAATGAGGATAAACACAATGAGAAGGGTGGCCAGAAGAAGAATTTGGGCACTGTTTATGATAGCCAAAAGGTGAGGGCACCCTCATTCACCAAGGACCAAGGTTCTAGGAGGTTTTTCTGTGTGCAAATTTACTCCCCCTCTTTCCAACCAATGTCATGGCCACAGATCTGAAGGTTATGATTTGTTTCACCTTTCAGCCAAGTGCACTCTATAAAAGATTTTCCCCCCATTTGTGAAAATAAAGGGGAAAAATAGAAATCCAGGCATGCTAAAATTGCATCATATAAAATATCCAAGGAGAGGAATCTGAGACCCTCCGGAAGAATGTGCAAAAAGAATTCAATTGATTCTGGAGGACATATCCCTGCAAAGTGCCTCCAATTTGCAACCCTTGTAATTAGTCCACTGTAATAATTTCACTAATTTGTCACTGGAAACCAAAGGAGAAATTGTTCCAGGTAATTGACAGTAACCAGGGTAACCTTCTACCTCTCATTAGAAAGACATTAAAAGAGAAAGAGCCCTAGACCCCTTGACTCTGGAAGTGGCTGGATGGGCAGGCCTGGGGGGAGGTGGCTGTGGGGTGAGGTCCCGGTTTGTAAAGCGGGTCCAGGTGACTGGGGTGCAAGAGAAACCAACACAGAAACGTGGTACACGTGAAGGGCTCTGATGCCAACGTCCCTATCGGGCTTGTGTCGCTGCTGATGAACAAGGGTGCCCGGACCATCCCCCACTCCCACTCCAACTCATGGCAGCCTCCCTCCCCCACCTCTTGAATCCTGGCCCCACTGAAGTGAAGGTTTTCTGGGTTGCTTCTTTGTCCACCTCCCTAAGCTGGTTTTCAACTTCTCACCCACCAGGCCACATTCGATTCTTTCCCCGAGCACAGACTTCTCCGGAAAGCCTGCTCAGATCCCACCAGCCACCCCTTGCTATCGGCATCCCCACTGCCCTCCAGTGCGGGAGTCCCAGCTCTCCCACAGCCGTCAATACCCCAAAGAAAGCCCCTTGGTTAAAGGAAATGATACTGTTTCTTCTTCCAAATCATTTCACTAAAGGTGCTCAGGGAAGAGAGAACATATCCATAGCTTTGATATCTGCTCTGCCCAAGAAATCGATCAGTTGCAGAAGCTTAACATCTCAAGGTTGCGTGAATCTCAAAGGTCATCTGGATCACCACACCAGCTGATCTAGGAATCCCCTTGACAAATGCCAGCCTCAGAAAAACCCCAGCGATGAAGAGCTTGCCACCTTCCGAGTCAGAGAACATCACTGATGTCTGTTAGCTGTTATTGAAGGAGACAGAGTATCTACTGAATGGACCAATAAATGACAAGAGAAGGAGGATAAAACAATAATGACGTTGAAGCAGATTCAATACAGTGAAGCGATAACCCCTGACACTAAGCTGCCCTTACCAGTGGGAAGGGCTGACGGCCACCGTGCCCTGAACAGCCCTGGCAGGGACACCCAGGAGACTAACATTTTTCTAGGAGCAGGCAGCATCTCCCATTCAGACACACCCCCTCCTAAGTACCCTTTGACCTCACTCTCACAACGTCCTCACCCCCACAGTGTCCCCACATCCACAATGTCCCCAACTCAAGTCTGGGGAGGCACCCTTCTTACCTGCGACCACAGAAGAAGACAGGCCATTCAAAGAATGCCGAACACCAGCCTAGCTAGTAGACGCTGGTTTGCTGACAAAAGTCTCCCCCGAAACAGAGAGACAGGTGCAGAGCAGAGCCGGGCGACTGCATTTCATTGCCAAAAAGAGGCCAGGGAAGGACACACCTTGGCAGATGAGGAAGACCTGATTCTGAGAGTCCAGTCGGCGTCCTGGGGAGGGCTGGACAAGTTCTGCAGACACGTCGGTTTGCTTGGGGCTCCCCACTCTGGCTGCTTGCGAAGCTTCGTGCAGGTGTTGCTGAGGAGGGTGTCACAAAGGTCTGTGCAGGTAAGAGGCCAGCCAGTCCACAGGAGGGGCCACTAGCTTGGCAAGCACAGGCTCGCCCTCTCATCCTCCCTCTCTCTCCCCCTCTCCCTCCCTCTCCCTCCCTCTCTCCTTCTCCCTCCCTCTCTCTCTCCCTCTCCCTCCCTCTCCCTCCCTCTCTCTCTCTCTCTCTCTCACACACACACACACACTCTCTCTCTCTCTCTCTCTCTCTCTCTGGAGGGGCGGGGGAGGAGCCTGTGACTATGCAGTCTGTGTCCAGTGGGGACAGACAACAGATTTGGTTCCCAGTTACTAGGATGCTTTGCTCTTTGCTCTGAAGGACCCCATGCTCCTGGGTCACTGTCTGGGACCCTGACCCACCCACAGGTGGAGAATCTCCTGGGTCCTGGGTCCTGGGCCCTGTTCTGTCAACAGAACAGTAGAGTTCCGAGTAACAGAAGACAGAGGACAGAGTCACGGGACAGCCAGCCTCCAGTTCTCTCCTTGCCCCTCTCCCCTGGAGGAGCACCCATCTGCCCCCTGCCAGCCTCCTGTGGGAACACCAGGCCACCGTTGCCGCCACCTGGCTCGGCTGCAGCTTGCCGGCTGCCTCTCAGCCTCCCTGCTGGCGAGCTTGCCGTCCATTGCCCAGAGAAGCAAGGTCACCCTCCACCGCACCATAAACAGACCCCTCTCTGCCTTCCTCAGTAAAAACCGGGAGCCCTGTTTCTGGTCCCAGGCAGGGCCGAGTTAGCGCCTGGGATCTGCCTAGTGGCCCCGCCAGTAAATGTCCCCAGGCCTTCTCGCCTCTTCTTCTCCCTCTCCGCTGGTTTCTTCCCCTCAGCGCGTAATTAAGTTCATCCTCCGCCCCGAAAATACTGTGGCTTCCGCCTCCCCCTTAAACTACTTGCCTTTTCATCCCTTATTTTGGCGAAAGCAAGGGGGAGCCCTGGACACGGCTGCCAGGGGCTGGTCTCTGGCTCTGCCCCCGAAGAGCCGTGTGATCTGGGGCGCCCCCGTCCCCTCTCCACGTCCCCGTTTTCTCACCGGTAACGGGAGGACGTAAACAATGGTTCCCGCTTCACGGGCTTGCTACGAGGGGTAAATGGTTGGTATAAATAAAAGGCTCAGAATAGTGGAAGAGTACTATGTATACATTTACACATGTGTGATGGCTAATATTAGCTTTTGAGGAAATTAAAATACTTGAAATACAAAAATTCATAAAATATCCATATTCTCACTACCCATAGTTAACGACTGTTACTATTTCACCATATTTACTTTCACTTGATACGTATGTATGTGTGTGTACATGCATATACATCGCTCTTTCTATGTGTGTGTTTATTTAAAATCGTGCAACTATTAAATGCATACATTCCCCAAAGAAGAAGGCAGAGGAGCGTCACGCCCGCGCCCCTCCGCACCCTCAGGCCCCGCGCGCCGACCCCACGTCGCTTTGCCAGGACAGACTCTGCGCAGGTCAGTTCTCCGCGCTGCCCCTGGCTCGCGGGACCCCGGGACCTTGGTTATTACCCAGCCCCTCCCACGTCCTCCGCAGGGCAGCGAGTTGGGTATAAATGGCAGGGCAGGGACCTCCGCGCCCCACACCACCCATGGCAGCCCATTCGGGACCTTCAGCCACTTGTTCTGCTCTGGTGCGCGCGCCGGGGCGGTCGGACGGACTTGGCTCCCGCGGAGCCCGCGAGCTGATGCAGTCCTGGGCTCTGCTGCCTCCTGGACCGCTGTCCTCACTCCCGGCACCCCCGCCCTGTGCCCGGGGACTGCGCAGCCCCTGAGGTGTCCCATTGGTCCGAGATCTAGAGACTCAGGCTGCCAGCCTCAGCCCCCTGCCTGGCGCCCTCTCCTGCCTCCCACTTAACACCCTCCAGACCTCACCACAACCACCAGGGGAGGGGGCTGGCCTGCCCCCTTGGGGTCTAAAGTAGTTTGGGCCATAGCGGGGCGGGGAGCAGTAGAGGGAGGGAGGGGGTCGGAACCCCCGGGGAGAAGAAAGGGGACCACCCGGGCGTGTGGTTGGGCGTGGGGCTGCTCACAGCAGCCGTGGGTCAAAGCTCCGGGGCTCCCCAAGCCGAGGAAGCCTGCGACCCACCCCTGGGCGTGTGCGCAGGAGAGTGGGTTGCTCAGGGCTGCTTCCTGTGCCCAGTTTTGGTAAGAAAGTGTTAAACGCATAAAGCAACAGCCAGGTGGAAAGCTGAGGAAAAGCCCCGTCTTCCCCGACATTGTCTGTTTCTGCCACTTCTCAGCACTTGGTGGGGCTGGGGGAGGGGAACCCTGGAGGGCCAAAGCCTGCGTGTTCTCTGCCGGGAAGGGCCCTCAGGGTCCCAGGGCCGCCGCAGGTGGGCGGGTCTCCCTGGGAGACGGGAGTTGGCTCCCACCCCAGTGAAGGCGACCCAACTGTTGGAGAGCCCACTGCGCCCCAGACCCTTTCCAACACCCTACATGCCTCATACTGTTTACAAACGGGGGCAAGTGAGGCTTAGAGAAATTGACCAAGTAGTTAAGAAGTTAATCAAGTAGGAACCAGGATTTGAATCCAGACTCTAAACCCTACAACCTCAGCCTCCTACTTCCCACTCTAACGCCCAGGAGATGAGCTGAAACCTGATTCCTCCTACAGGTCCTTCCAGGGCTCAGTCCTGCCTCCTGCCACCCCCCAGACCTGCCCTTTTCAAATCTCCCGTCCTCCCCACCTGTGTGGTCCCCACCCCACCCACTCTACCCCATATCCCCGCCTTGCCCCTCTGCCTCCTTTTTCCTTCAGAGCTCTGTGTCTCCGGATTCCCTAAGCAGAAGAGGCCCCTGGAGCGACACAACCTTGGGTGTCTATGTCTATGGCCCCACCTGTAAAACGGGGACCAAGCCTCTCCAGTGTGGCTGCTATTGTAGGGGACGCAACTGAATTGGTACCAGAACAAAATTTAACAGCCTTGTTTTTTGTGCTGAGAATACAGCAGTGGAGGAAGCACACAAATGCCCTGTTCCCGGAGTAGACATTCAGACATTAGCATAACAAATTTTCAGGCTCTGAAACTCACATCTTAGAGCTGGAATCAAACAATTCATGAGGAAAGGGATTAAAATGCAGTAACAGCCCTGGCCGGGAGGCTCCGGAGAATGGAGCCAGGAGGCTGTGTGCCCAGGCTGCCGTGGGGCCCGTGGTGGCGTGTGCCAATCAAACAGTGAGTGCATGGGTAGGTGGGGCCGCAGATGGATGTTTCTCTCTCTCTCTCTCAAATCAATAAATGAGTTTTAAAAAATGCAGTAATGCATATAAAATTGATCAGTCAGTATTTGGTCCTCACTCATAGACAGGGTGACCTAGCTGTGTGACCTGGAATGAGTTCTATTCCCTGTCTCCTCCTTTAGGCTGAGGAGGTCAATGACTAGTCCCCATCAGGTGGTGGGGTCTCGATGAGTGCATGCCAAGCGTTAGTTGGTGCTTGTGTTTAAGAGACTATTGGCTGTCGTCAGCTCTAATCTCGGCAGAAAATGCAGCGCTGAGACTGGGTGTATGGTTCTGTCACTGCCCCTGAGCCCCGGAAACCCATCGCCCACTTTCGTCCAGGCTCTGCTCGTTCCCTGATGGGCTGCGCCATAGGGTGGCCTGGACCCTCCTTGCTCACACTCAGATGCCTGCTGTCCTGAACACAGCCTTGTCCAGGAGCCTGGACTCCATGTTGGGAACGGACCTGAGGCTGCTATGTCCGCAGAGCTTGTCCCCTCTGCCCGTTCTTGGGCCCTGACGTGTCCCAGCTTGGAAATGGGGGAACCCAGATGCAAGTCCTACCTGTTCTATGGCTTATATACCCAACATTGCCTGCAAGCTAGATGTAGTCCGAACTTTACAGTTGAAGAAGCAGGTCTTGGAAAGGAGAAACAGCGTGTCCAAGGACACACACACACTGGCAGGGGAGCTGGGGCTGGGTGGAGCCTGGGTGTCTAGATTTCCAAGCCTAGTGATCTCTATGTTGTACCCACCTCTGTGGATCAGGCCTCTTAACCCAGGGGCAGGACCCAGCGGCATAGCCTGGAGTTCTCACCTTGAAATAGAAACTGGAGTTATTAATACAAACTCCAGAGCTCAACGAGAACCTTGCCGGGAGAGGGAGCAAGCTGGGCTGAGAACCAGCGCTCAGAAATAGCCACGTGACCATGGGAATGCTGACCTGCGAGGTTTGTCCTGCTGGCTCTGACACCAGAGCTGCCCCAGGGTGAGCTCGGCTGCCCCTCCGAGGTCTCCGTTGGTATCATCTCCCCACCGATGACACCAGCTCACAGATGGCTTGTTAGTGATTGGGAGCAGGACTGGTCAGTGTCCCGATTGATGTCTCAGGTCCTTAGTCAGGTGTGGGTTCCCCCAACATCACACCTCGGCCCAGTCTTTTTGTCCATTTTTTTCCACAGATGTATCCTCAGTGCCAAACCTTAATTTCTTTAATAACAATAATAGCAAGGCCCTACATAGAATAACAAATCTGTATGTACCATGCCTCTGGGTGCACAATACTTAATCCATAATTGGTGAGGGAATGACTACTTGTACACCACACCTTGAGGCTGGTTTCCAGGAAGGGAAACCGACCTATGGCCTCACCCCTGTCTGGGGCAGCTCTGGCACTGCCCCGAAGCATGGGCTAGCACCCCTGCAGGTGGGAAAGGAATATGACATCCCTGAGGGAGATACTGCTGTGATCTCTAGTGCACAGAGCCAGAAACAGGGCTCAGTGTGGTTAAGTAATGGGCTCAGGGTTGCAGAGCTGGTGGGTGGTGGAGTCTGGATTTGGACCCAGAGCCTGAAGTCTTTTCCCTCTGCCTCCCAGTCTGCTGAGCAGACTAGTTTTGGCTCTGATGAGGGAGGATGTGTCTGTCTTGGGGATGTATGGTCCAGAGAGCTAGGCCTGGCTCCACACAATTGTAATTTCTTTAATTAATAGTAAGAGCTGTTACTCACTGACTCTCTGTATATGGCCTGATAAGTAAGTGTTTTCTGTACCCTTGTTTATTTGGTCCTCGTAACCTCTCACAGGGTAGGTACTTGAATTGCTGTTTTTACAAAGGAATAGAGGCACAGAGAG